AAGCTCCTGCCAGCTTTTTCTGCTCAAATAAAACTTCTCAGTGAATGGTCCTCAGACTTCAAAGTCCCACATGCACCAGTACTCAGCAAACCATACATTGCATGAAATTGTTTTGTCCTCAGTTTTTACTTCCTTTTGGCATAAACAGTCTTGGTGACTTAGGGCTTTAAATCCTTCCAATGCCATGCAAGCTTTAAAGAAAAGATGATAATTCTCAGCTGAATAGGATTGTTGCTTTCACTGCTGCTGGGACTCTTTCTCCGCAGTTCAGGCAAAGTTTAGGTGAGATTATTTACCAGTTTAGTACACTTTCTGGGGTGTCATAAAAGTAAGATGGAATACTGAAAGAACCATACAAAATATTGATTTCCCTCTAAATCACTCAACCCATCAACACATGGTGTAGTTTAGCTTTGAAAGCAATGTTGTTAGAAATGAGTCTCACAAAATATTTGTTTTCTCTGACATGCATACTAAAAATTGTCATCCCTTCAAAGTCTGCATGTACTTTACATTCTCTTCTGGCTCTTTATGCCTGTTTTACATTAAACAAATAGGAAATATAATTTTTAAAAAATGCTATTTGAACTATATAACTATACTCTTCTGGCCATACAGTCAAAATCTTACAGTAACCTGGGAAAACTCAGTTCTGTCACAAATAATTAGGATTTGTTAGGCATTTGGGAAGCAATGCGACCTTGCACAGGGATCCTCCCTGATAGCTATACTAGGCAGGCAGTCTGCTGTCCTGCATATCCTTGGAAAACATAGTTTCTCACAGTTATAACTTCAGGGCATAAATGTATCACAAGGACAATCATGGAGTATCAGGCTCTGACTCTTGTCTACTTGAGCAATCAATACAATTTTAAGGTTGTAGTGCTGGCAGTTTGGACACTATCTGTGAAGTTAATTTTTAAAGACATAGTGCTGTTTACATAAGAGAACTAAATGTTACATTTCCATCGTGAGATCCTTGGTGCCCCCACTGACTGGAGAGAATATTGCAATGTATTCCTTGGACTGGGACTCCATTCTTCCATCTCCTTTCAGTCATCATGTCAGGAGAACTCATTAGCTGTTGCTCATGCAACAAGTTTACTTTCTTTATAAGAACAGCTGTTCAACCATAAGTTAAAATTTTCTAATGGTCACCCCATTTGCTGCTCTTGTAATCTAGTTTTCATTACTTCTTTGGATCTATGTGCACACATGACATATCAGGGAAACAGGAATTGTAAGCTTTTAAGCTGAATAGGCAAAAGAAGAAAAAAGAAAGAAGATGCATCCAAATTTTGTGATTTTTCTTTTACAAACACCACTTGTCTGTGAGTCAGTTTGCTGATCTGTATGACATTTACTTAAATATTTACCCATATCACCAGGGGTTGTGAATCCTCATGAATCATTGTTGGTGAAAAACTTCATAATCTTTGCATGAAGTGTAGCACATGTATTCAGAGTATGCATCTAATTAATGGCAGAAGATTAATGAAAAGAAGAGATTTTTTTAAATCATTTTTTTCCTTGTTCAAAATTTAGTTAAAATTTTTCTTTTATAAATGCAAATCTTTTTCACACAGACATAATATGGTTGGTACACATCTTGGTGATGATTAGAACACAGTTGCAGCATATTCGAGTTTGTTCAACTTTATTAAGAGAAAAAAGTAGGTATTGCTAGTCTATAGTATTTGAAACTCATGTCTACACCACTTTATTTTATTCTTTCTATGCAGAAATATCCACCAGAATTATTTAAATTAAAGTATTATACCATTAAATGCTCTTAATTTATATGTAGACAAAGTATTTTCTGGCAAAATTCTTTGCTTCAAGAATGGATGAATTAAATGGGCATACTGGCTGCTTCCCTTAGCTGTCGTCTCTCTAAAGGCTCTATGAGTAAGCCTGACACACTTCATATCTCACATTACCATCATCTACAGGCTTCTGTTAGTGTCTCCCATCTTAAATTTTATGGCATCTTCAGTCAAAGAGATACAAGTGCAGTGAAGTGTGGGACTGGAAATGAACAAAACAACTGGGAGATTGGCTTAAAAATTATCCTGAAGCTTGTGTGCACACAGCCCTAGTTGCTATAATATCGGGGCGTGAGAGCCATATAATTCACTTCCAAAGGACTATCTATATTTGATGCTTGTCCTAAGCCAAACACAAACAATTACCAGCTGACAAGAATCCTCTCAAAAAGGGCAAGTGAGGAAATTTAAGAACAGCCTGAGAAGCTTGTCATTTATGGAGAGTAGCCTATCTCATGCTGATTGAGAACTAGAGGGATTGATAACCTGAACTACAGATTTTGGAAAGTGAGGTAAGAAAATTCCTTATGTAAATAGGGAAGGTTTTCCTATTCCTTCCTTGTCCTTTCTTCCTACAACTCTAAAGATTTTTCCAGCAGTACTAGGATTGTTAGGTAAAATACCTTCTTTCTTGTTGATTGTAAGTCAAAGAATACAAGTGTAGCTAAAGTATTTCTGCTAGCTCTGTATTGTCACAAATGAAAAATGCTACTTGTTAAAAGGAAAAAATAATACCTAAAACCATAAACTAAAATATAACTTCTTATGAAACATTTATTAATGCTTGGGTGGCACATTGTCTGAGAAGAGTGCTGGGTGATGCTAGGTAGGTTCTTCACAAGGACACAGCACATGTCCTTGTTATCAATTTTGTCTTTATCAGTAATTTCTGTTACAGCAAGAGCGTCTAAAATAATAAGGAGCTTGAGCTTTTTATTTTTCACTAATATCTGAGCAAGGTATGTTGCTATCTGGTTTTTCTGCTGCTTCTGTCACCTTCTTTCCAATGCTAAATTAATCATGCAGATGACCTTGCTGTTTTATTAAGCACAGCAGGCTGTATGAGCTATTGCTGGAAAAGCGTGACATTGCTCAACTAGTGGGGTCCTACATCTATTTTTTTCTAATATGATTTCACTGCCACTTCTAAGTACAGGCTATATTTCTGCTGTCATGCACAGTTTATTTCATTTGCCATCAATTAGAAATAATTATGCTGTTAAAAGGAAAGCACATCATAACTGCTTATAAACAGAAGAATTTTTTATAATATGCTGGTTTGCCTCAACTTTCCATGAAACAACAATTCTGAAAACAGGAGTCATAGTAACCTGAGTAGCTTCCATACCAACATATTGAGTGAATTGGTACATCTAACTGAAATTTGACAACAAGGGTCTCAAAAAAAAAATCCAGGCAAGTCTGAAATGGTGCTGCATGACTACAGTACAGATATGTACCACTGCGTAATTCCAGAGCATGGACAGAAGGCCATCTGGAAACTCCAAACATGTTGGTCTGATCCCCTAAATTTGCCACAACAGTAAGGGAACAAGGCAATAAGGCTTTCTAGCTCACATTTTGAATTCCTTAATATTTGTGAACAAGACCGTGCCATCTGGGGAAGGCTACTTCTGTAGCAAGGATCTGGCTTTTCATGCTTACAATTCATTACATTCATAATATGAATGAATTGTCTTAAAAATCTCTGTTTCTAGATTTATTTTGGGAAGCATAACCAATCTCTGCTCCTGAAGCCCCTGAAAACTCCCCCAATTTAGAGTTTATTCTGTTCAGATATCTACAGACCTGCAGTGGCTCTGCTGGCCTAGTGCAAAAGAAGTTTCTGACAGACACAGGGTCTAAGAGCAAGGATCTAATATGTTGGAGGTGGACATCATTGCAATACTAGTAACTAGAAACACTGCCCAGGAGAAAGAACTACTTTTCTAGTTCATTGATGCATGGAATTAAGCTTGAAAGATTACTTCAACGTGCAAAGCATGATGCAAGTAAGAGATGAGGTGGTAAAGCTGTAGTCTGATACCGACCCTTGAGTTGTTCCATTGAGCATCAGACCTCATTTGCTGATGGACCACACCGCTGATCTGGAGGCTGCTGGGACCTCCTCCCTCCCTGCCACTTGATCAGCTCTGCAGAACACAGCACCTGCCAGCCAGGTGCACCAGGCATGCTGGTGACAGGTGGAAGATGGACTGCATAGCTGTAGCTAGGAGGAGAATTAAATATCAGTCTGCTTTGCCCTAGGACATGAACAGTGTTTCCTAGTTGTTAAATGTTAAACACAACAGCCCGAGTGTTTTCACTGTACTTCTTAAATGTGACAGTTGATTATGGGATCAAAATGACTGAAAAGGGAGATTCAGAAGAAATTAAACCATGTCCCTGAAACAGGCATGCTGAAAGCTATTTTCAAATTAGGCATAGAGAAAAATAGGTTAATTAGCATTTTCAAAGGACTTCTGAAACATGAGACTGTTGTCTAAAATTGGGATGCCAGTGTGGCCTGACAGTCTGCTTACAGCTTCAAAGGAACATCTGGACAGATGCATGCAGCAATAAGGGTAAATGAAACATAGACTACTTGCCTACTGGCAGTAGATACTGAACTGGGCAACTTTAAATTATTCTGAGGATGCTGCAGACAACAGTTGTAATTCTCCTAGAGGGGAGCGCCATATAAATAGTATGACATGCCTATGATCCCAATTAGCTGACTTGAAACTTTGAAGATCAAAAGCCTTCAGGATACACTGCTGGGGGAGAAAGGACACTGCTTGACAGGTCGGTGGGAAGGATATGGAGGAAGGATACTGCCTTGCTGAGTACTACCCCAGCTGGCCGGGACCTTAACACCTTGGAGATGTTCCCCGCCTTCCCGTGGGACCTTAACCGCACCACTGTGGCTGGACTCCGTGAGCGCAGACAGGTATCGCCTTTCCTTGGCAAGCGCGGGGAGAAAGAGGTGGGAGGCAGGTCTCGAGGTCCCGGGATGAGAGGGGCATCCTGCGCTGGGGCCGGGCCGGGCGGCGCGCAGGGAGCGCCCACGCGCGCGTTGGCTCCCGCGGCTCCCCGGCCCCTTTCCCTCCCCGCGGGGCGGGCTCGGGCCCCGCCGCAGCCTCCCCCCGCGCTCGCCGGTAGGCGGCACCGCCGCCCGCCTTCCTCCGCCGCCTCCTCCTCACCTTCGCCAGGCGCCGCGCCGGGTGACCCAGATCGCGTCGGCGGCGGCAGCTCCGCGTCCCTCCCGGCGAGGAAGGACGGCTCGGGACGGCGGCTGCGCTGCGCCGCGGGCATGGAGCGGCGCGGAGCGGTGAGTGCGCGGCGGCGGCGGGCCCCGGCGGCGGCCCCGCGGGTCGCTTAGCGACGGGAGGCGGCTCCGGGCATCGCACCGCAGCTCCCTGCACCGCTTCCCTCCCCCGTTCACCGCCCGGCGGTGGGAGAGAAGTTTTGCCCCTCTGAATGCGGGACGCTTTGCAGAAAGACCTTGCGGTGTAAGGAAATTTGCAGGCGCTGAGTGGTTTGCGCATTTGGGGTATTTGTAGTTGATTTTTTTTAAATTTTTGATTTAATTTTTAATTTTTTCTAATGGCCCCATCCTTTATAACTGTACGGGAGGAGGCTGGCACTGGGCGGCCGCCAGGCGCGCGGCTCTGCGGCTCCGCAGTGGCTGCGCGCCCTGCCCTGCCCCGCAGCCCGCCCTGCGCGGGGCCGCTGGCTTGGCTTGCCCCTCTGCACCTGCCCTGGGCTCTGTGCACCGCACTCACAACAACGTGTGCACATGATAATGACGACTTCTATTTCCCATGGCACTCTCTTCTTCCCCGTCTCCCCTTCATCCCCCCACATGGTCATTGTGTATTGAAGTTCACTTGCTCCGAGTTTATTCCAGGATTGATGTCTTTGATGTTCCCCTTTGTCCTCACCGTTTCTGCTTTTCTTACAATTTCCTTTAAAATAGCTAAAAGAGGATAGCGAAAGTGTTTGTCAGAATGGGGGCGGTGGGGGAGAGGGAAGAACAACACCTTTGTCCCAATTCAGTCAACTCAACAGTAAGATAAGCTGAATTTTTTTATTTTTTTTTTGTGACAAAGGCATTTGAAACAAAGAAGCCATTTTAGAAACTGACAGAAATTTATTTTGTAGCTTGCATGTTTAGCATGTTAGTCAATCCAGGTTTTCATTCCTTTTTCTTCTGTTCCCCCCGCCCCCCTCCTGCACTCCCCATTATTCTAATTTATCCTAAAATGAAATAGAATAGAAAAAATAGCATCTCTAAAATCCTGCATCATCCTTGTGCTCTTCAATAAGCTTACTGATTGCCTTCTGTTCCAAACGTTTCATTGCACATTTTTAAAGAATGTTATTTTGTACTCTTAGATCAATGAATAGTTGAATCAGTTGAGTGTGATAAGAACATCTCATCTCCTCAGGAACAGAACAGCAAATGCCTCATTATGTGTAGTAATTTGGTAGGTGTTACATACTTATATCTATTTAGCAAAATGCAGGTTCAGATGAGACTTACTGATTCTTAGAAGAACCTGCTTTTCTCTGACTGTCTTTAAAAATGTGGGCCACTGTGTTGCCAAGCTGAACAGGTGGAGTTGCATCTAGAAATATCCTTTGACTTGTTCAGTTCTCATAATCTGCATACCATTTTAAGCACTATTTCAACTGAAACTAATGCAAAACTACATTGCTGTAGCAAATGACTTATCATCAAGGCTAATAGGAGCTTGGAGACAGGAAGCCTATGATTTTTAAGGATGAAATCATGTGACAACATCAGATGCTGTATGTATCACTCTAAACAGAAAATGGGCAGAAGATGGTTCCAGGAAAGCAGCAAACAATGGGAAAATCAGCAATGGAATGCATTGATTAACTTTCCTACTGGTTCACTGATACACATGTTCTGCTAGTGTAAAAACCTGCTATGGCTGAGCACATAAGCACAGTGTCTATGAATCCTTAGCCTGCTCAGGCCTTTATTAACCATGGGAGAGCATCATATTAGCTTCACTGGCATGTGTGAACCCAAGAATTTCCTGTGATCAAACATCTTCCTGTTGCTCTTGACAGGGAATTGCAGGCCCCTGAACTAAGCTATACTTCAGTGGTAAACTTTTGGGCTATGTTGCATTAAGTGATTATTTGGTTATCTATTACCTTCCCTGCACAAACAGACTTGCTGGTGGCTGCAGGGAAAATGCTGTTGCACAAATGCTGGCATATGTAGGGCTCCAGACTGCTCCTAGTATTTAAACAATCTTGTCTTTTAAAGTTAAGCTGTGATCAGCTATAAACCAATTTAAACAAAAATTATGTTCAGCTGTACATTCAGGACATTATAACTATACAGAGCCAAGCAAGCTTTATTTTTCCCAAGGGGTCACTTGAAGTGTTAGCAGAAAATTGCAAGAAGAACAAGCTTGAGTTGCCTGGAGATCAAATCTTGTTGGATTTAATGCTCTCCAGCTCATAAGACTACATTTTAATTTTTTTTATTAACATCTGCTCAGCTTTCTTGATTGGAAATCTTCTTTCATTTGACATTCCTTTTAAATCCTTTGCTTGGTAATGCAGGCCAAAGGACTGCATGAAATACATTACTCTTTGAATACAAGCTTTGGGAAAGAGGACTGAAAAGTAAGCTCTAGAGGAGAGCTTACTGGAATACTGAGAAGGAAACCAGGTGGTGAGATTCCAAACACACAAGAAAGATAAAGTATGGAAAAAGAAAATGAAAGATGAGACTGATGTAAAGAGATGTGAAGAATGTTTGTGGTCATGCAGGACTGTGGCTATGGTTCAGGCTTAGTATCTTCAGCAACCATCTAACACGATACAGGCTCAGCCACCTAACTGAGCTCGAGTGCTGAGCTGTGCTGTACCATAAGATTTGCCAAGCCTGAGCTGGAGGTGGAAATTTTGCTTTTTCCTGCCAGGCAGTGGAAAAGGAAGTATGACAGCAGAAGCTGTGGGAGCAGCTGCCCGAGTCACTACTTAGTGGTACGTGGGACTGCATGAGCACTCCTTTTCAAGGCAAAGCAGGCATTTTGGTAACAAACTGACCTGTCTGACTTGCCTTGAGATACATTATGGGTATGTTTACACTAGTGATTTGGCTTGCATCCGGCTTAAGTCTCTGACACATCCTCCAAAGACCTTCTCCGGTTCCCTTGCAGTGGTTCAGGTCTCAAGGCAGTCTGGCTGCAAGAGACCTGAACTCTCCCATTGAAACTACACCAGGACTTCTGCTTTGGGAACATTCCCATTTAGTTACTGAGCCTTTCATGAAAGATACTGGTTTCTTGAAAGTACCTCCTAGCTGCAGTCTAGTGATCAATTCTCATCCAATTTAGCATTAAACCAATGAAGACCCGCACACCAACTTCATCAGCCTCAAGTGTTTCTGGCAGTTTGTTCTGGAGTGTAGTATCCTGCTCCTCTGCAAAATGAGAGCAAACACTTCTCAGCTTTCCGTTACAGCTGAGAGGCCCTTCAAGAAGATAGTTTCTAGTTCTCCCAGTAGTTAAAGTACCTGAGTGAAATAGAGAAATTTGGCAGTGTTTTTACCTCGTCTTAATCTGTCTACAGATCTGCAGGCTGACCACTCCATTCTAGTTCAGACAGATACAACCACAGACGTCAAAAGGAGCCTGGGGAACAGGAGAAATACAGGAGCTACAAAGACTGGATTTGAAAACAATTGACAATATAAGCAGGTGAAATTGCAACTTGTTAGAGCAAAGTTAGGAGGTTCAGTTGTGGTCCTCAGGACTATGTCTATAGGAAACTGTGTACCTGTGAGTTCTTCCCTCTCTGGTGGGAAATTACTTCACAGGCAGTTTTAGTCTAAATACAGATTTCTACACTAAGGTTTTTCAAGCAAGTCTCCTAGCTTTTGTTCTTCACCTTTCTTTGTGGACTACTCTTGGAGCACCTGAGAATAAATAGGTGAAAATGTTTTTGGAGCACTCCAACTGCAAGCTGATATTCAGTCCCAGGGACCCAGTTGGAGCTACTCCAGCATCTGTATAGGGTGTTTTGTTTAAAAACAAACGGCCTTCCCCCATCCTGTGCAGTTTCAATTTCAAGTGCTTGGCAGCAGCATTTCTGTTGGTCTGTGCTCTGCACTGATGTAGCTGTAGCTTCTGTAGTAGCTATGTATTTTGCTTTTCCAGAGAACGATTCTCTGGTAAATTAAGGGACAAGACCAAACCCAAAATAATTAGTTATACAAAGTCCTGTCTCCACATCTCTCTGTATCATCCTTGTAGCTTGGCCATGGTTAACCAATGTTTCTGATGGTGCATAAGAAGGAAAGGCAGTTTCTGCAAAGAAGGTTTGTTTAGGGCTGTGTACAACTGGCTATCAATTTCACACACATAGGAGTTATTCCTTAATATATATATACCATCTGCCATTTAAGCTCCTATTGTATGCCTGTGCCTGTGCCTGTGTCTGCCAAAAGTGAATCAGTAAGTTTCCTAGGACCCCAGAACTGATACTATTATACTTGCTCAACTGAGCAAGGGCTCCTGTGGCTAGTTACACATCGCACTAATGATGAAAAGAAGTTTTCTAATTATGTTTATTTTTTCTTTATTTTTTAGTAGTCCTATTCATTAATTTGAAAAATAGAATTAAATCTCTACCTTCCATTATCTTCCAGGATGACTTAGATGTTGAGATTTGTCCATGGCATAGCAACTATTTGTTACTACACTGATAATACTTGCACAGTCATGTGGGTGTGTAGGTGATAAAAATTGGGCCCCTCAGTATAAAGCTGTCCTGTGGTCATGGAAACTACAGTCCTCTTCTGGTAGGCAGTTATAAGAGCAAGTCTCTTACTCCTTCTCCCACTCTGCTCTCACAAAGCCATATCCATATCAACATTGGCTTGGATGTGTGCCATCAAGCAGGTTGTTCCTCTGAAACATTAAAATCAATGTGGGGTTTGTTAATTTTGGGCTTGCAAGGCCCTCACGCTGTCAGTGTTAAAGCAGCCTGAGGAGAACAGATGGGTTGAAGGAGGAAAAAGGAGTTCTTGCTGAACTGAGTGAGGAAGGGAAAGAAATGGTGGTGCTCCCAGAAGATGACATGGAAAACAGAACATACCATAAGCACAGATTAGGAAAAGGCCACACAACCTACTCCCCAGGTTTTCAAGTAGGACTTACAGCAATATCTCCAATGGTCTGAGATAGTCATGTTCTTCTTTGAACCTTGTTTGTCCTGACCAACATGTGCTATGTTGTAGAGGGTAAGATAAGTTCATGCTCCTGAACTATTATGGGTGTA